TAGACTCTCAGTGGTTATATCATCACCTAACACATGGGTCACATTAGCCTTTCTGACAAGCCTACCCTTGTGTTTAAGCCTTTGCTAAGACCAAAGTAGTCATTTTTTCATGCTAACTATCAATTAGCACTTCACTATAGTCTTCACACACAAATTTGTGCCAAAGTTGCTTAGATTTAAACTTTCATTACTTTCAAACTTCTTCTTGGAACACCTTTCCCACAACTTTAATATGGTATATTTTGCCATCAATAAAATACCCTATTCTCATACATGGATCTCATGATCCTCTCCATTCCTCGTAGGGTACTACATACCTTAGTCTAAATGGTTTCACCAGTCGTTTAGGACCATTCTTTGACTACACTCAAGTTATTCATCTTTTTGGACTTTGCCAATCTGACTGACACATAAGGTCTAGCCTCATGGCTACTTTTGCGAGGGGGGGGGGGGGGGGGGGGCCCATGGTTGACCAACTTGAAGCAAAGCCCAGGGGTTTTCTTTCTTCCGGGGCCCGCTTGGGGCTAACCTAACTCCACACCATACTAACTGGTGGAGTACCCATATCCATGTCGTCAAACCACCAATATGCTGAAATAGCACCAGACTCCATTTGCCTCTGTTTTGTGTGTTAGTCCTGGCATTGGGATGTTGGATACTCTAGGATTGTTCTAAGTCGCTCCGTGCTCCTGCCCCTTCACTCTTTGCACTGTATGCTTAGGAGTCATTCTATGCTAGTGCCATCACTCCTTGGCTCCATGCTTGGGAGTTTGGCACCATTTCTTCATTCAATAGCCCAAGGCCTTGAAACTCAGGTTCCACATCATTGTCCTTTGGACATGTGGCATGTGACATATGGCATATGACACGTGGCACATAAAGGGTTTAAATTCCACTTCCATGGTTATCCTATGGTAAATCACCATAGAATAAAGGATTACACGAACAACTTTGGTAGAGAGTTGTTTGTGACATTTACTAGCCCTCCGAGGGAAGCTCAAAAGTAACTTTGTTAAGATCTTTATTAACATAGGTGCTTTGGATAATTTTATGGCTTATAAGTAAAAACCACATGCGCTACACATATCCTCCCAATCTGCTACTCTTCAAGTATAGCCCCACTCCTGGGACCTTCCAATATCACTATCAAATGGTAATATACTTGATTGCCAATAAAAGTCAGAGTAAGGAATAACTCAAATACTAAGTTGGAAGCGACTAAATTTTTCATTCTACTTTAGTTACTTAACCACACTTCCGACCACTTGAAAAAGTCTCACTCACAACCTCTATAAATCCCATTCTAAACTTGGGGACTTACTAGTCCCAAAAATGGCATTTATGCCACTCCATCTTTGCACTTGGTCCAAGTGTTTCATGTGTCCAATCCTATTACTAACACCCAAAAGTACCATCAACATATCAGCCTATTACGCTAAGGCTATGCCCATTCATCTTTGTCGTATTGGTGATCCAACACCATCTACATCACAGTTCTATTTCTCAAAGATTAAACCATTTGTCCATGAGTGATCATCCTAGATCCACCCCTTAACATCCTTAGGATGCTTGCAAATATGGGGAACAACCTTCCCCACTATATCTTTTTTGGTCCTTACCAAGTCTCTTTCCATCCACAACCATGTTTGCCAACACTGCCATTGAGTCAAGGCTCAAATGCCCAACCACTACATCCTACTAACCTGTAGGACTTCTTTGCCACATAACCACATCCTTGGTCATCACATAAGAGGATTGCTCCTCTTTCTTTCCACAATCTAGAACTTTTAGATAACATTTCAAAACACCATAGCCCTATGTGAGTCTTGTGGGTATTCTCCCCACTTTCCACCTTTGGGTGCTCTAGCCATGTGGCTAGAACAAGGTTCCGATGAGCCACATTAGGTATCCAAGTAGGTAATGCCACCCACACTTGGATTAGGGGTATTGACTATCTAATCCCCCAAAGAAGCAAGAGTTAGCTCTTGGACACTTCACTAAGTTGCCTTGTTTTTCTATCTGTATTCACTCTAACCTTAGACTCAGTGGTTATATCATCACCCAACACATAAGTATAGCTTTCTTGAGCTTTTCTAGCCAAACTGGTTCCACTAGAGTCTAGCCCCTACACTCTCCCTACTATACTTTTGAAACCCCTTGCAGCCCCCCCCCTTGGGGAACGATCACTTTGGGCTTTCACCCATAATTTGTATTAATATTTGGATTTGGTTTTGGATTCGATTTTGAACTCAGATTCGGACTCAATCTTGTACTTGGACTCAATCTTGGTCTTGGTCTCGATCTTAGCTTTAATCTCAGTCTCCATCTCAAATCCATCTCAAACTCCATCTCAAATTCCATCTCGGGTCCATCTTGGACTCCATCTTGGGTCCATCTTAGACTCTATCTCAAACTCCATCTCGGGTCCATCTTGGACTCTATCTCGGGTCCATCTTAAACTTCATCTTGGGTCCATATCGGACTCTTCCACGCATGATATGTTGGTCCTCTTGTATCCCTTTTCTAGAGACTCACTTATTACTTGCTTCATTCTCATTCCTCGAGCCCTTCATTGGGAGTTCCACTCATGCATTCAACTTTTCAAGTCAGAGCTTTTAACCCAAACGTATTATGCTCGTTTGGATTCTTCTTTGGCCACTACCACATGGCACCCTTTTGGCTCCATTTTGAGGTTTAGGGATTTGTGTCTCACAATGGTTTAAGGTCTAGAATACTTGGATTTAAGCATTTTTACGTTTAAATAGTATTGGCTAAATAACTTCTTAAGAAGTTCAAATTCAAGAAGTTACACTTTCACCATTTTGAGAAATTAAACAAACACTTAACGAAGCGATCCTAATGTTGGACTAATGTATAACTAGCTTCCCAATCCACTTCTATTGATAAACTACTAATCACTTGCTCAACTGCTTACAAAGAGTGAAGATGTGGTCAAAGGTGCTTGGAGGAGCAACTCTAAAGTGCTTATTTATTTGTCTAAGTACTGCAGCATCAATTGATAGATAGGGACCTAGAGTTCTCTTAGAATGTTGTTATTCACTAGATCTTCCATGAGATCATAATATAAAGATCGAATGGCTTGGTCATATTTTTCTGGAGCATCCATTGAAAGTTATATTACTTGCATTCACAAGCTGTCCCCAATCAATCAATCATATTGACCATGCTATGCTTGATCTAGGAGCTATTCTCGATTTAAAAACGAATGGCTTTAGAGCAATTCTCATATGCATACCCATCGGATGAGTCCATGATAGCCATTAGATACCTAGGTATAGACCATTGCGTGTAAAAAGTAAATCAATAGGTTGCATGGTTATAAATAGAAACTGTAAGCCCTAAGGGTGGCATCTACTCCAAGAATACAAAAAGAGTTGACCCTAAGGGTTGAGGTTTGATAATTTCCCTAGTGAGAGTCCATTTGAATTACTTGTATTTGATATTTCCTGGCTTATTAACTACTTTTAATGTAAATGTGGTAATTAGAAGTTTGAAAGAGTCCACTGAATGAAGAATTTGGATTGTTTCCCAACCATCCCAACCAGCATTAATCAGGTTCCTTTTGAGAGCAAACCCTGTTGGGAATGTTTTGATTCCCACCTCTCAAGCTGCCCTTATAAAGGACTCTTTAATAGAAAATGCATAAGTATCAAAGATGTAAGAAGACATGGATGAATTAGTTTCTATTTTCAAATCAATCACAGCCAAACCCATATGAGTGCAGGTTGCAAAATGCTTGTTAGTTAGTTTGTTTGCGTACTTATTAGATTTGCTCGCTGTGTGTGCTTATAACTTTTGTAGGTTTGGTACTGGTGGTAAATATTCGGGACTGCAAATTCAAGATTTTTCTGTGATTGATATGATGAGAGGGAAGAATTTACTCCGCCAGAAGTCTAGCTTTTTCAGATGATTTCAAAATGGCACCCACATGGTGATGATCATAAGTGACCTATGTCTAATAAACTTTCGAATTTTGCCTCTGGAGATCGTTAAGCCTCATAGTAACTTTTTATCACTCACTCGTGCAGTCCAGCTTATACGTAGCGATGATCAACAAGCCTTTTTCTAAAATTTAAAATTTAAATCCCGGTAGCATGTCAACTGTCACTTGGTGGGGAGTTCCTTTTTAATTGGCCTTCCAATCAACTGCAAAATCTAGAAGAAAGAATTAAAGTAACTCAAATATGCATGCATACACATTTGCTATATCCAGTCCGGATACTGCTCATCCGTCTCCCTCATCTGTGCCTTACAATTTTTTGTAAATCGTCAACAGTCCATGAAAGAATTTTGTTCCCCGCAATAATCCGGAGGAGTGTTTGGACTAAACGAGATAAGTCTTGCTCAGATGGCATATCAAAACTGCGCTGGGATTAAAAGAAATGAAAATTAACCAATGTAAGATTGTAGACAGTTTGTCTACTGTAAGATTGGCCTGGAAAAGGAAACAAACCAACCGAATTATTGAAAGAGTCACCAATGAACAAAACTAAGTAACTTACCAGGTTGCACTCCACATAAAGGGTAGCAACGTAGTCATTCAGGCGTTTGCTATAGACGAGAACCTTGAAATCGTAGCTTTTGTCAGCGTCCTCCTCTCGCTCTGGAGCGTCCAATTTGGCTTTTCAAGCACTGCATCGACATCAAAAGCAGGAACTGACCAGCTAAAGTGTTGTGTGAAGAGCCCCAAGGCAAAGAGGTAAGTGGAATGAAGTGGCTGCACCCCGAACGTAGTCTTGGGCTGATCAATGCAGTATCGTGGCAATGCAGTCCTTCTAACCACGAACCTCTACATCACCATCGAAGACTTTATCTTTTGGAATAGGATTATGATGGAACCATTACCACGTCCAGAAGTGGATTGACTGCAAACTGGCACCAAGAAAGGATCTTCGCCTACGTCTTCATCCTCTTTCCGTAACCATACAAAACCCTAGAGGTCAACTTGGGTCAATAAAAATGAAGTAGAACACTTTAAAGCCCTTAGCCCTAAGAGGCATGGAAGAGAAGATTAACAGTGGCGATGGCGAGGAGAAGCGCAGGGCTGCGTTCAAGCACAAGACGGGCGGCCAGGGATGGGCCAAGCGAGTGCTTGTGGGATCATCAGCAGCAAGTGAGGTTTTATCTTCGTGTTCTTCGATCTGGCTACGATTCTAAGCTCGACAATGTATGATCCCGTGCAGCCGGGATTGGGGCGACCATCGGTTTGATCGGAGGCGCGGCCAAAGGGCATCCGGTGAGAGCGTTCGCGCTGCCAGTGACGATTAATTTCGCGATTGCTGGATCTTTCCTCTCTGGTAAGCATCATTTTTTTCTTTATAGAGATTCGCTAGTTTATGTTGTTATGGGGCACACTCTATTAGTTCTTCCGGTGGACGAAAGAACTTACACGCGCTTTGATTGTTTGGTTCCATAGGCATGACAGAGGTGACTCGAGCGATGCTTCGGACGGAGCCCGGCTCGTATACAAACACGATTGGAGGGGGAATGATCAGCGGGATTGTTCTTGCCCGACTGCAAGGTTCGTAACTTTCTTTTTCCATCCTCCAAGATCGATCGGACACTCAACAGGCATTGCTGCGAGTCCATTTTCAATGGGGCTTTTATTTGCTGCGGTTGGAACCGGCTGCCAGTTTGCTGCGAATCAGTGGGACGAGTACAGGCTGAAGAAGTTCGTGGATACTCTTCCAGATGATGCGTTCCCGGAGGAGTTTCGCGAGACGAGGAAAGAGATGGTGGAGGAGGCAAACAAGGAGAGGTCATGGCCGTCGTGGTTGCCATTCAGGAAGCTCAGCGAGGAGGAATTCCAGCACAAGGCCGAGCTTGCGCGAAGGATGAAACAAGAAAGAGGGAGTGTAGACGAATGACAGGCTTGTTTTCTCTCCTCTAGGAATAGAGCTTTGTCGCAGATCGATTGAGCTCGAACGAAAGAATATGACGAGTGTCTAGTGAATATGCCTCTAGATCCGAGAAGAGTATATTCGGCGAATATAGGGTGGAGCTAGGGTTCTAAGTTCTAACAGAAAGAAAATACGAGAATGGCGTGTGTCGAGGAGGACGCTGTGCTGGATCTCACCAGCTCGCAGCTGCACGATCTTTCGGATGTCAACCTCCCGCCCGGCCTTGTGGAGCTGGATTTGACGGCGAATCGTCTCTCCTTCCTCGATCAGCGAATGCAACACCTCTCGCGCCTGAAGAAGCTCAGCTTGCGCCAAAATCTTCTCGCGGACGATGCTGTGCAGGCGCTCGGCGAGTGGCCCTCACTGTTTGGACTCCAAGTGAGTCTTTCTCTTCCGGTGTATGGAGCTTGGTAGTGAATTCTTCTTTTATTTTTCTTTGATCTTTCAGGAGCTAGTTTTGCGAGACAACAAGCTCACTAGACTTCCACCAGTTGGAGGGCTGTCGGAGCTCGTTGTGTTTGACGTCTCGTTCAACGAGCTCACATCGCTGGATGGCATGAACAAAGTTTGCTCGAAGCTGCGAGAGCTTTATCTGTCCAAGAACGAGATCGTCAAGATGGAGCAGCTTGAACATATGCAGGAGCTCCGCTTGCTCGAGCTAGGCTCCAATAGGATCCGGGTAACTTCCTTGTTCCATTCCACTTAAGGCTGTTTACCTTGGTAGGCTGACAGGTGCTGGAAGGAATTGAGAATATGAAGCGACTGGAGGAGCTCTGGCTAGGCCGAAATCGCATCAGGACTGTCAACCTTTGTGGCTTGACATCGATTGTCAAGCTTAGCTTGCAAAACAACCGGCTGACATCAATGCTCGGTTTCGAGGTAGAGTTTCTCAATTTTGCTCTTCTTTTTTCCGATGCCTACTCGCCCAGGAATGCTTGGCGTTGGAAGAACTATACTTGAGCCACAATGGCATATCCAAAATGGAGGGACTTGCCACACTCGTCAATCTTCGAGTGCTGGATGTCTCTTCGAACAGGCTGACGTCTATCGCGGACGTCGAGAACCTTGAAAAGTACGTCTTTTATGTTCACTTTTTCTCCACCCAGCTTTACGTTTTTCTCGCCTAGGCTCGAGGACTTGTGGTTGAATGACAACAACATTCCTTCTCTCGATGGCATCGAAACAATCCTCTCTGGTCCACGACAATCGTTATCCACAATCTATCTGGAGCGCAATCCATGCGTAAGTACAACTGCTTTACAAGTCACACCTTTTAATCGCCTTTTGGTCGCAGGCGTCTGATTCCTCGTACGTGAACAAGCTTATTGCAGCTCTTCCCAAGCTTGGGCAGATCGATTCGCGCGTTCTTTAGAAACCTTCCAACAGTCGACAAGCACCAGACGGAAAAAAAGATCTGAAATTTATAAGAGAATGCCTCTCACACTTCTCGCACCAAAACAACAAGTTATTTCTACGTTCCTCTACATCAAAAGCCAGGAAGCCGCCAGCACCTCGATGAAAGCAACGCCGCTGGTGAAAGAATGCCGCAGAGAGACGCCCGAGGTGCTGTTGCTCTTCCGGTTCGACGGATTGGCCGTGTTATTCGGAGACCGGGTACCTGGAGGCAGAGCTTCGGGTGCTGGAGAGGCTTGCTCAGCTCCAAACGGTGGTGACGCCTCTGGCCCAGCAGCAGTGACAAGGCTAGAGTTGTAGGCGAGGACCCTGTCGATGCCATGGCAGGCTATGAACCTGGTGGAGGAGCAGACGTCGGGATGGGTGATATTGACTTCGTTGAGGGTGAAGTTGCCGGGGGAATTGGAGGTGACCGTGATCATCTCTCCTTGGAGCATGGTTGGGAGCTCAGCACCGACATCGTTCCTGGACAGCGCTTCGAAAGAAGTGGGGAAAGTGAGGACGTGATACTGGAGGGTGTTGATGATATCTTCCTGGGACAAGTTGGCATCGACACCGGCGATGGCGTTGTTGCTGGGGATGAGAAGGGTGGACCTTATGGGAATCAAGGTCTGCAGGGACTGGGCTACCGCTGCCGCGACGGTGAAGCCTTGGCCGATCATGTTGCTTACCAGTGGCTGGACGTCCGACGAAGGCAGGATTCCATCGTCCGTGTCGTCCTGGGCAGCAGCGCGCTCCAAGCCGGAGCTCACGATCGTCACGACACCGACGAACAGGAGCACGAGAAGCGTCCGGGACTCCATCGCTCGCTCGGCTCGTGAACTTGGATGAACTGGGATGTGATGATCTTTCAGTTGCGATAGCAGTGGCTTATAAGATCGACCAGTTCGACGCATGCATGCATGCAAAGCTCCATCTGAGCAGTGAAGGGATGAGCACTCAAGCAACTCGAAGTTCTATGGTTGATACGAAATACAAGTGTCTGTTTGATGATCTCATTTCTACTTTATGGATTAATGCGTGGTGTACGCGAGCTATACTACTACATACATACGGCACAAGTAGGAGCATTCATTGTGGAGCGGCCGGCTGTCTGGGTCAAGTCAGGAGCTCAGGGACGGGAGATGAAGAAATTGATTGATTTCTTGGTGGCAAGCTTTTCAGTTATGGTGGTGGTGCCAAACATGCGATTGCGAGCCAGCTACACGCCAGCCATGCTGCGAACAAGATCCGCCCCATATCGAAAGCCACAATCCGCCATAGCCATGCAAATACAACAAAATCCGCCACCTTTCATACATTTCCTTGTAATTCAACCGAGACAAACTGAAAGTAAAGCTAGAATGAGTGCATTGCGGACAGAGAGGAAGATTCGCCATTTCGCCATTCCTGCTATGAACGGGTCCTTTTGACTGTCGATGACTCACTTTGACTGCGCTGACTGGGCGCCATACATTCTAAAGAGGTGGAACGCCGACACCGCTACCACGGGGAGGAAGGCGATGGTGGCCAGGAAGGCGTTGACGAGCGAGAAGCCGTAGATGAAGCAGTAGTGCTTGAAGTCGCTGCACACCTGGTTCCATCCCACTTTGGTCTCGCCGCGGCGAGCGATGTAGCCCACCTCCGCCACTACTGTGGCCGCGCTCACCATCAAGTACGCAATGAGCTGAGACAACCAAGAGAGTTATGTGCAGCGAGAAAAGAAAATGGCCTATACCTGATCTAAGATGAATGTGACCCAAGCTCTCGATTTGGAACCCACAATGGATCCCGTGGTGAGAATCGTGAAAAGCCCCGCCAGCATTTGGAAGAACATGTAAGCGACCGCCACAGAGAGAGCTCCAACATAATACCTGCGAGTGGATCCTTGGTTGAAGCAGCAAGAGAGAGAAAAAGGAGAGGAAGAACCATCGAAAACTCACTGGACTCCTGTGATCTGCGAGAATGTAGCCGTCTTTTTGAGAAAAATCGTAGAAGCCATGCCAGGGAGCTTGATTGGAATGGATTGTGTTTGCTTGTTGGAGACCATGAGGGCGAGCGCGATGACGAGCAGCACCAGCGTGAGTGCTCGCAGCGCCAGCACCGAGATCTTCATCTCGGCCGCGCTCCTGTTCTTCATATCGCCCAGAACTGGGACGTTTCCGGGACTTGGAGCATCCGCAACACCCATAGCTCTCCTCTGCTCTATATTCACTCGCTTCGCTCGCTGCAAAGTGATCTGATGGAGCCCCTGCCAAATGCGGCTAGTGGGCGCTCTCAAAATTCCAACTTTGGCGCTGTGCGCGATGGGTCCCTCTCGCTCTCTCACACTCTCCCTCGTGCGCTGATAAGCTGAGCTAAGCTAAGCTATCTTAGAGATTGATTGAGCGATGTGCGCCGCGCTACGAGTGAATGAATGGGAAGCAAAAACAAAGGGGGGCGCGCGCGCTAAGTATGTGTCAAATTCCCAAGCGATGAACAAGGCGGTGGCACAGAGGCACAAGCGAGAGAGTTTTGGATTTGGGTCTCTCGGGAACAGCCCTTCGCTGATTGATTGATTGAGAAATCAATCTCGGTGCGAAATGCGATCACACACAACAAGGAAAGGAGCCCAGCGCCGGTGGTGGAGTGAAAATGGATAGTTGGTGCATTGGAAGAGGGGTCCCTTTTCTATTTATTTTCGCCACAAGGCTGGTGAGCGATGCGAAGCTTCTTTTGCCATTTCCCAGCATTGATTGTAGCTACCAAAAACTCCCCCAAAAAAGGAGAAATCCTCTAATCTCTCTCTCTCGTCGCATTTGCAAACAAACACACACTTGGCGAGAATGCGATTTTTGAATGGAAATTTGTGGTTGTTCCGTTGTGTTTGGCCACAAATCTTGTGCGATGAATGTGGTTTTAGAGCATATTCGCACAATCAAGATTCTTCCGCATAGTAGAGAATATTCACATAGTTAGGGTTAGGTTTAAGGCAAGAGAGAAAGCCCTATCCCACATGCCCAAAGCCTTTAGTATGACATTCATATAAATACCCTCGCCTACTACTCTGCTTATGTCTCTTCGGAGACACCAGATAAAATTGGAACGATACAGAGAAGATTAGCATGGCCCCTGCGCAAGGATGACACGCACAAATCGAGAAATGGTCCAAATTTTTTTTCTTCTTTTTCCGCCTTGAGCCTGGCTCCACATTGCGATCGAAACCATCCAGCCTATGGCGTGCAATTCGTAAAAGGGTGGATTTTACAACAGTGAATTTCACTCACAATACAGTGTCCATGTGGCAATTTTCTATTAGTTCGGCATTAAATGTCATTTGGATGCCTCATGGATACCCCATGAATGCTGGCCCGATGGGTCGATGATGTCCCCATAATATGAACAATGTCATCAAGTTTGACCCCATGACATAGGGATTCATCAGGTCATCGTGGGTCGGCATGGCGCAGTGCCCTTGCTCTCTCTCTGGCCTAGGGCACCCACGAATGATGATGGGGAATTTGTAGGAGACCTTCCTTGCCTTAGCGCCCGTTATTCTATGCTCTGTAGAATTTGTTCTTGGCTGTGGTGTAGGAGAGCTGCGGTGCTGTTAGGGATTGATAGCAATGGCCGCGATCACGACTCCGGATTCCAGTGTTCTGGAGCGATTCCATCACTCGTCGTTGCCTTCTCCCCTGCGTTGCCATCCAGCTCGTCCCGACCTCCATCCTCAAGAATTGCGGCGCAAGACGAAGGAAGCAGGAGGATTCGACAATCGCCTAGACGCCGCAGCGGGTAACAATGGGGGCATTGATGATTGCGAGCAGCACAGCGGCAGTCGGCAATGCAGGGAGGACACGGCAATGGCCGTCTGATGACGATCAAGGTTGCCACACTCCCAAATTCTAGATGGAGTTAGATGGACTTATGCTTGCTATGAACACTATGTTAAAAGAGGTGTGCCAAAAAAGAATAATTCAGTTCTTTTGCCATGAGTGCCAAGAGTAAGATGTGAGAATATAGTGCTCTAGATAAGGTAGTATGGTATGCAATTTAGTCGATTGTCCATTTGGTTTGCAACATTAACTTGCTAGAATGCATGGGATGAATGAATGGTTCCATTCCATACATAGCATGGGTCATTGCTATGGGCATGATGCCCCATCCGGGGCATAAGGATTGGATATTCGTAAAACATTCTATGCTTGTGTTTTTTCACACTCATAAGACACATGGACCAATAGCAAGCATACACATGGTGTGAGTGAAATCCACAGTTGTAAAATCCACGCCATACCAGCACGCAAATCCCGCAAATCCTCGACTGGATGCCGCAAGTGCGAAAGTGTCGACATCGGGAGAACAGTGGCGTGGGCGAAGCTTTTGTTCAAGGAGATGATTGCTCGAAGAGGTGAGGGTGTGCGCTGCCGAGAGCGAGGTGCATTGCGAGGTAGAAGTTTGCTCGATGCCAAGGCAGCATGCGGAGCATCGCAATCTCGGCTTGCTCTAGGTTCTCGATCTCTTCCAAACCATCTCACTCTCGGGATTTTCTCAACGCTTGCGCTCGGATCGAAGGTGTGTCGATCCACCAGAGCTTGGTCCAAAGTGGGATGACCACCCGAGGTGTGTTCCAGACGATCGAGGAGCACAGTTGTGTGCTGTGAGCTTGTTCCACGAGATGCTCCGGCATGGGTTTAAGCCGAATTCAAGGTAACTTTCATGCCGATCCGAGCTCTTGCACGAAGAGATCGCAGCTCACTGACGTTCGCTTTCTTCATTTTTCCCGCAGCTCTATGGAGAAGGTCGGGAACGCGCTGATAAGCATGTACGATGCTTGCGGGAACTTGGAGGACTTGGAGAAGGAGCCCAAGCGTAGACGGTGATAGATGGTGGCGAGGCCATGCAACTGCTTTCCTTCGTGCTGCTTGCCGCCCAGCCGAGGCACTCTTGAAAGGAGGTTTGATGTTGCATCACAAATCTCCCCACTATTTCAGAGTACTGAGACAGTCTACTTCGTGATTGAGTTGAAGGAACTCAAGTTGGTTGTTGGCGCTGTTCGTGGGACTGAAACGCCAGAAGATCTTTTCACGGATGGCCTGGGACGTGAATGCATCCTTGCCGACACTGACTACCACGGATTGCTCATGTAAGTAGTGCTCTCCCTCTCACTTCTTACAAGTTTGATACTCTGGCCATTTGTCTGACGTCAAATCCTCACTATTGCCATGCCGCTGTGGTGGCGGCGGCCAGAGAGCTTGCCTTCGAGCTAGACAGCCCCGAAGACAATCCTGAGTTTGCAGGTTTGGAAGAAAAAGCTTGCTCTTTGCTCATGTATGGATGTATGCACTTAGATTACAGGGAATGATGGTATGCATGCATGAGTTTGTTTCTCTCGTTTTCACTCTCTTTCGAGCAGCTATGGCACCGCTTTCCAAACGTACACACTGGCGTTCTTCCCTGTGTTGACATAGTTATCGCGGACCATTGTAACAAGGTGTGACGAAAGTTTCTCTCGATTCCTTTCATCCTGCACCACCTTTCCAGTGTCGTGTATAACGACGAGTCTGCATTGAGGCTGTCCGTGGCTTTGAGGCTCTGCACGGCCTCGCTTCGGGCTCTAGCAGTACATGAACTAAAGTGGCCAGAAGGTTCTTGGGCTCGAGGCGAGGCAATGGAGGAGCCACTAACGAAGACTCCAATCCATGTCCCAGTGGAGCATCGCAGTACAAGCGTTGCAAATGCGGCCAGAAGTCAAAGGTGGAGCCATTTTATAACTCTATTAGAGGTCTTCACATATCTCAGAGACACTGTTATAATCCTTCAGCACCAAATGAATCTTTTGCTTTGGATTAGAGCTGGAGGAGCTGCTTGGTTAACCAGGTCGGCAACTGCTACTGGCCAGTAAGGTCCGGTGGTTGTGGTGGCAACAACCACTCTAAGCCCTACGATAATACCAGCTAGCGAAAGAACCACTCAAAGCCTTACCACAGTGGCGGTGGTAGCAGTGGCAGTGGCCGAGGTGGGGAGTGAAGCTTCAATTGGAGCAGTTCAATCAGCAATTGCAACAACTCGATGGAACTATTGGGGCAAAAGGTTCTGCTCCATCGCTGCTCTCAAGAAGGGTTGCGGAATCACAGTCTACAAGAGTCCTGGTACAATCACATGTCCGGCATAAAAGTAAATATCACGATATCATGTAATTCTTGTTGTCATACCTGAGAGATAGTAAGTAAATATCAGATCTTCTATAAAGCTTGCTGTCTCAGGATCCTTTCACAGCAAAACCGCAACATCCCTCAGAGAGCAATGGACTCCAAGTTCCTGCCTGTTTCAGTGATCATCCTTAGTGGAAACTCCATGAACAAATCTGCAACAGGTGTGGTCTCCATAATACACTTCTCAATAGCAGTTGCTAAAATTCTTCTTCTTCCTGTGTAGGTGGAGATAACAGCTACTAACATCTATAAACCTTTCCATAAACGCTTGGATGTTGCTGCCATCAAACCCAGGTAGACTGTAAATCTCTCCCACATCAAACGGTTTCATAGTTCCAGAAAGAAGATTCTCCCGAACTGTCCATGCTCTTTCCTGTACTGAAACAAATAGGGGACTTTGCAGCACATCATAGAGTGCAAGGACGATGGGATTCAATAATGACTGCCCTTCCTGAGGAGTTCGGCCTGATATGAAGCGGCCCTTCATGCATGACTGAGCTTCGTCTAACACAACTGTGGCATCCCCCCAACCCACCTCTTTTACCAGCTTTTCTATGCCGCTAGTGAAGTAATTAACGAAAGAGGGCACTTGATGGACTTCATGGACCAAACCAAGCAACTCCTCAGAAACACGTCATCAACTGCCGGATACTCCAGCGGCCAGTCTCGTGGAACAAGCCCTGGCTTACACTCTTTCAATAATTTAAGCCAAGTGAGCTGTGCAAGGATTAAGGCCCCCATGCCACACAGCACCACTGGATGCTCTGGGGTAATATTTCTTTCTCCTCCTGGAAAACTGTTTTCCATCCCGTTGGCCACTCTGTAAATATCTTTTGATCCTCCTTCAAACCCAACCATGGCACGGTCACCTGTGAAAAACAAATTGAACCTGGTGTTGGTGAGTTCAATCAGCATTCTTGTTTTCCCTGATCCACTAGGTGCTAAGACCACAGTAACCTGCTGACTTGACAACCATCTTGCAAATCTTTTTTAAGTCTACTTCCAACACCTTCCCACAAAATGCATGGTCTACCTTCAAGCGAGCACACGAGTGTCCGAGCAAAAGGGAACCTTGCCTTGTAACCTGACTCATCTATTGCTAACTATGCTATTGCCGGCCGTTTGAGAGAGATATAAGTGTCACACTGACCTGTAATGTCTGTTTCTGTAAACATTAAAATAAGTGAAAAGAAATCCCAAGAAACCAGTTACAATGCCACGGCATAGCCACCAAAAAACAAATGCGTTTGTAGGCAGCACAGTAAAGAATAACAAGCATCTTCATGGCCAAGACACATCTTCTGTATACACAAACTCGTCACACAACCAGCTTAAGCCAACACGGACAGAACCCACAGCCATAGCCAATGGCCAGAAGGCAAAACAACAAGTGAGACCAGAAACATCCACGGCCAGTGAGTACAAACAAAACAAAACCCTCAAGCAAGATCAAACTTGTCAACACATAGTTCCCAAATGTAGCACACCACCAGTTACAACGGCCAGGCCATACCCAGATCACTAGATAAAGAGACACATGGCACACAGTCACAACCACAGGCAGCATTAATAGAACGCATGTTTTTCTCACACTCATAATACACGTGGATCAATAGCAGGCATACACCATTGTAAAATCCACCCTTTTATGAATTGCACGCCATGTGTGTGCCATGAAATCAGCGGATGTTTGAAGGCCTTGCTTCGCTGTTGGATTTGGTGCTTGGGTGCTTGTGTCTGGCCTGTGGTTGTAAATAAATTCATGGCGGCTGCTTCCCTTACAGGCATAGAATATGTTATGAATATACAATCCTTATGCCTCACATCGCATCAAATATTCCTGCTGCTTGATTTCCACCAAGGCCCAAATCTCCTCCTGTGTCCAGTTCTTGGAACGTTGCCTTTTTGCTCCTGGTCAAGCTGCTATATCTTCCACATCCACCTGCAAACTTGCTTGCACGTCCATGTCCACATCCATGACCTCTACTAACTCTGCCTCCACGTCTACTTGTACCAAGAGCTACCCTTCGATCTTCACTTCTCTACTCGTTATCAAGCGGGGAGCCAAAACTTAGCTGTTCCGACTGCAAATCAACCTTAGGCTAGTTGCCTGTAGCAGGAAATTGAGATTAAGTGCCTTGCTCCACATGTTGATCAGCCCAATGGCCAGGCTGAAAATTGAGCCTACAACCACAACCAGCTTGATTCTAGCCAGGCCAGCAGCCATAATCAAGATTATGGCTGGGCTGACCAGCCTAGCAGCCAGAATCAGGATTCTGGCCAGACTGACCAGCCCAACGGCCAGAATAAGGATTCTGGCTGGGCTGACCAGCCCAACAGCCAGAATGAAGATTCTGGTGGAGTTGGAAGCCTTAGTCAGTTGGAGGTGCTGTAAAAAGAGTTGTAGAAAGAGCTGCAAAAGGAGTTAGTAAAGAAAGAGCTGTTGAAGAAAGGATTTTTTCTTTATCTTGCTGTTGAACTTATTGAACCTAAATGATGTGCATGAATGCAAAAGGAGAGAATAGAGAATATCTGTTGTTGCTGCTATGAAGAAGTGTTGGGGCTTCCTCCCATGCCTGGGAGGAGCCCAAAATGCCCTGCTCCTCACACCATGGTCATAGCCGCTCTTGCCCAAAGTTAGGGCGCCAAGTTGAGGCACATAGCTGATGTGGTAGGCAATTGCATGCAGAAGAGAGAGAATATAAATTTAAGGGTCCTAGGGAGGACCCTTAAATTTTACATAGAAATTTTGTTGAACCCTAACTTAGAGTTTTTTTAAGAGTTTAGGTGTGGAAACCCTACTCTTAAAAAAACTCTTAGTTAACTAAGTATTCAATGTGAAAACAATTTCACCCCTAACCCATAAAATTTATGGGTTAGGGACGGCCCCACAATGCAGTGGGCATTTTCTTGTTCCAGATACCATGGGCCACCTTATAAACCAGAATTGTGTATGTTCTTTCCAGGCAAGGAAATTTGTTACTCCATTTCTCTAGAAGATGAAAATGATACCATCCTATCCTATCATCTAAGGCCCTACTCATGCCAAAAATTCTAACTTATACCTCTGATACCATGTGAAGAAAGCCTCTTGGTCTAACACTTTGAAGAAAGCAAAAACTACCTCACAAAACATCAAAGAAACCTAAAAACCCTAAATTAGTGGATCATTCAACCAGTTCTTTACGGCTTTAAATTGATATGATCTTTCTTGTTCTTCGCTTTTGGGATGTTTAGGCCTTGGAGGCCAGCACAAGTCCGGTGCCGGCGATTCCAACCGTGAGAGCAATGCTTCCTCCATACTTCGTTCCAAACTCAGCAACGTTGGCGATCGGCTGCCACGTTCTCCACTTTGGTGGATGTCAGAGGGATGAGCAGAAATAGTTTCGTACAAAACTGTAAAATAGAAGCCGGTTGAGTTTTCTCTTTTTGTCTCTCTTGATTATAAATTAAGTTGTCCTTGACGATTCTAGGGCACCACTGATAGGGTTTCAGCTAGCAAAATGGACGAGGAATTGGCTAAGGTGGAGGCTCAAATCGGGCTTCTTGAGCCGCAGATCCAAGCGGCTGGGGAATCTTTTCTCTCTGCCCTTCAGAGTGGCAATCAATCTCTGGCGGAATATTGGCGGAATGAGAAAGAGCAGCTGCGGAAGAAGGAAGAGCAGCTGCGGAATGAGAAAGTGCAGCTGCGGGAGGAAAAACTCCTTCTCCTCAGAAGTAATGGTAAGTCATCCCCCTCGATTTGGGGCGTTTTGCTGTGTGTTGTGGATATGGCTGCTTTCGGTCATGGTTAAGGATTTTGCCTGAGGTCGCTTTTATTTTGGGTTGCTGGAAGTGTGGCTATGGTTGGCCATGTTTTCTATTGATAGTTTTTTCTTCCAGATCTAATACTAACTTTGTTTTGTTCTGAATGTTGCAGTGCCCCATGGAATCGGTAAGCAATTGCGAAAGCCCTTTGTTCCCTTGCACATGCATCCATGTCAGAATTCCCATTTGTTGTCCAGTTTTTGGCATTTGAAATCGGCGGAGGTTTCAAGGTTTCACTTATTTTATTGTTTGCAGAAACAGCCATTAGACGTCGGTGTGACAATTATATCTCTTTCAAACGGGAGGCAATAGAACAGTTCGCAGTAGACGAGTCCGGTTACAAAGCAAGGTTCCCTTCTGCTCGGACACTCGTGTACTCACTTGGTGGTAGACCATGCATTTTGTGGGAAGGTGTTGGAAGTGGACTCGTAGAGTTGGACACAAGATTTGCAGGAAGGTTGTCAAGTCAGCAGGTTACTGTGGTCTTAGCACCTAGTGGATCAGGGAAAACAAGAATGCTGATTGAACTCGCCAGCACCAGGTTCAGTTTGTTTTTCACAGGTGACCGTCCCATGGTTGGGTTTGGAGGAGGATCAAAAGATATTCACAGAGTGGCCAACTGGATGGAAAACAGTTTTCCGAGAGGAGAAAGAAATATTACCCCAGAGCATCCAGTGGTGCTGTGTGGCGTGGGGGCCTTAATTCTTGCACGTCTCAGTTTTTTCAAATTATTGAAAGAGTGTAAGCCAGGGCTTGTTCCACGAGACTGGGCGTTTTTTCAGCTGGAGTATCCGGCAGTTGATGACGTGTTTCTGGGACTGCTTGAGGTGTTGCTTGGTTTGGTTCGTGACGTCCATCAAGTGCCCACTTTTGTGAATTACTTCACTAGCAGCATAGAAAAGCTGGTAAAAGAGGTGGGTTGGGGGGATGCCACAGTAGTGCTAGACGAAGCGCAGTCATTATTACAGTGCATGAAGGGGCGCTTCATATCAGGCCGAACTCCTCAGGAAGGGCAGTCGCTGTTGAATCCCATCGTCCTTGCGCTCAAGTCATATGGTGTGCTGCAAAGTCCCCTGTTTGTTTCAGGTACAGGAAAGAGCATGTTGACGGTTCGGGAGGATCTTCTTTCTGGAACTATGAAACCGTTTGATGTGCGAGAGATTTACAGTCTACCTGGGTTTGATGGCAGCAACATCCAAGCGTTTATGGAAAGGTTTATAGATGTTAGTCGACTAGACATGCTAGCTGTTATCTCCACCTACACAGGAAGAAGAAGAATTTTATCAACCGCTATTGAGCAGTATATTATGGAGACTGCACCTACTGCAGATTGGTTCATGGAGTTTGCACGAAGGATGGTCACTGAAACAGGCCGGGAACTTGGAGTCCAGCGCTCTCTGGGGGATGATGCGGTTTTGCTGTGCAACGATCCTGAGACGGCAAGCTTTATAGAAGATCTGATATTTACTTACTATCTCTCAGGCAAGACAGCAAGAATTACGTGATATTGTGATATTTACATTTACTTTTTCAGGTGCCCGACATGTGATTGTACCAGGACGGAGGAGGGCCATGACTCTTGTAGACTGGGGTTTCGCAACTCTCCTTGAGGGCAGCGATGGAGCGGAACCTTTTGCCCCAATAGTTCCATATATCAGAGGGGTCGCTGATAATGAAGCTCAAGCTCCCGGTTTGCGAGTTACAACAGAGACTCGTCGTTTGTCAGTTACAACAGAGATTCGCTATGTAATCTTGCAAGAGCCTTTGGTGGTAGATGCACTGTGGCACCACATGTCACAGGGTATGCACATGGGATACTTTCTGAACGCATTTAGACAGCGTGTAATCAACTTCGAGACGTATGTATGTTGGGAGCTTGGACGTGCCTTTGAGAAGAAGGTACCGGCAGAGGTGCTCGGATTGGTTGAAACACACACCACATACAAGGAGACATATGAGCTTTTAAAACAGAGAGGGGCATCAGAGGGGGCTGTTACAGTGATTGAAAATGCAGAACAGCTGAACGAGTGGCTCAAGTCAGTGGAGACTAGTGTTTCGTTTGCAACATATGGTTGGATAGGGCAATTTTGTGAAGCAGGACCAGATGCGATGTTTTTCCTGTGGAATGGTAAGCTGAACAAGATTATGCCTGTGTTTGTACAAATCAAAACGGGAAGTGACCTTGGAGCAACTCAAGCATTTGCGACGCTGGACATCATGAAGCTGGACAAGAAAGTGAATTCAGAAGGCTCTCACAAACTCAAAGAGTGGTGTTCCACTGGGTACATAAGGTTGGTTATGACAACAAAGGAATGCTCACGAGCAGGAATGCGGGCAAGGCAGAGTGAGCTTTTAAAAGGAAAATGTTCAGAAGAAGAAGCAGGGGTAAGTTTTGAAAGTTGTGTGTTATTTAAACTTTTTTGTGGTCTGTTGTGTAGGTTCCACCTTTGTCAGCTATTTGGGCCAATGAAAGGATACGTGGTATTGTGAACACAGAATTACTAGAAGCTATAGAAAAGTTCAAATAAAAACGGAATAAGTTGCACTCGTTCTTCGTAATTCCCCATGAAATCGGCGGATGTTTCAAGGTCTTGCTTCGCTGTTGGATTTGGTGCTTGGGTGCTTGTGTCTGGCCTGTGGTTGTAATTAAATTCATGGCCATCTGCTTCCATTCCGTTCTATTAATGCTGTCTGTGTCTTCTGGCTGTGGTCGTGACTGTGTGCCGTGCGTCTCTATACCTGGTGATCTGGCTATGGCCTGGCCGTTGTAACTGGTGGTTTGCCTGATGTGGTGCGCTACATTTGGGAACTACGTGTTGACGAGTTTGATCTTGCTTGAGGGTTTTGTTTTGTTTGTATTGTTTCCTTCGCTCTGTGGTCTCACTTGTTGTTTTGCCTTCTGGCCATTGGCTATGGCTGTAGGTTCTGTCCCTGTTGGCTTAAGCTGGTTGTGTGACGAGTTTGTGTAAACAGAAGATGTGTCTTAGCCATGGAGATGCTTGTTATTCTTTACTGCACTGCTGCAAGCGCATTTGTCTTTTGGTGGCTATGACGTGGCGTTGTAACTGGTTTCTTGGGAATTTTTTTCACTGATTTTATTGTTTACAGAAACAGACATTACACGTCGGTGTGACGCTTATATCTCTCTCAAAACGGCCGGCAATAGCACAGTTAGCAGTAGACGAGTCAGGTTACAAGGCAAGGTTCCCTTCTGCTCGTGTGCACGCTTGATGGTAGACCATGCATTTTGTGGGAAGTGGACTTGTAGAGTTGGACAAAAGATTTGCAGGAAGGTTGTCAAGTCAGCAGGTTACTGTGATCTTAGCACCTAGTTATAAGGTAAAACACGAATGCTGATTGAACTCGCCAGCACCAGGTTCAGTTTGTTTTTCACAGGTGACTGTGCCATGGTTGGGTTTGGAGGAGGATCAAAAGATATTCACAGAGTGGCCAACTGGATGGAAAACAGTTTTCTAGGAGGAGAAAGAAATATTACCCCAGAGCATCCAGTGGTGCTGTGTGGGGTGGGGGTTGCACGGCTCACTTGGCTTAAATTTTTGAAAGAGTGTAAGCCAGGGCTTGTTCCACGAGACTGCGTTTTTTTCAGCTGGAGTACCCAACTGTGGCATCCTCTTTTACCAGCTTTTCTATGCCGCAAGTGAAGTAATTAACGAAAGAGGCACTTGATGGACTTCACGGACCAAACCAAGCAACTCCTCAACCAGTCTCAGAAACACGTCATCAACTGCCGTGCTAGAAGCTCAGTCATTATTACAATGCATGAAGGGCTGCTTCATATCAGGCCGAACTCCTCAGGAAGGACAGTCGTCCTTGTGCTCAAGTCATATGGTGTGCTGTGAAGTCCCCTATTTGGTTCAGGTACAGGAATGAGCTTGTTGACGGTTTGGGAGAATCTTCTTTCTGGAACTATGAAACCGTTTGATATGGGAGAGATTTACAGTCTACCTGGGTTTGATGGCAGCAACATCCAAGCGTTTATGAAAAGGTTTACAAGATGTTAGTCGACTAGACATGCTAGCTGTTATCTCCACCTACACAGGAAGAGTTTTATCAACTGCTATTGAGAAGTATATTATGGAGACTGCACTTGCTGCAGATTGGTTCATGGAGTTTGCATGAAGGATGATCACTGAAACAGGTGGGAACTTGGAGTCCATCCCTCTCTGAGGGATGATGTGGTTTTGCTGTGGAACAATCCTGAGACGGCAAGCTTTATAGAAGATCTGATATTTACTTACTATCTCTCAGGTATGACAACATGATATTTTGATTTTTACTTTTACTTTTTCAGGTGCTGGATATGTGAGGAGGAGAGGGATAACTTTTGTAGATTGTGGTTTGGCACCAGATGCTATAGAATACACTTATAGAATGTTTTATGAACACATTTAGACAACTATCCATATGCGAAACTAACTTCATCATGACTCTTTATATGTGTTTCAACCAATCCAAACAGCTCTGTCAATACTCTTGTTTCAAAGACACTTCCAATACTCTTTTCTCAAACACTTATAAGTGTTATATATACATATATCTTGAAGTTAATTCTGTATACAGATGGTTGTCTAAATATGTTCATAAAACGTCCCATAAGCGTACTCTGTGACATAAAGGTACCACAATGATATCTACTACCAAAAGCTTTCTCA